AAACCACTTTTCATGGACAGTTTTAGTAACGTAAATTAATAATTTACAGATTGTACACACACATTCACCTTGCACGCGTGACAATGCATCACGCTATTGTTACAGCGCTCAAGCATACGTTATAATATTATGTATATAATATAAAAATTTAATAAATAATTATAAAGTCCCACGCGATTTAAAAAATCGCTCTTCAGGGAAATTAGATCTCTTTCACATGTTCTAAATATATTACTAATAAAATATTATCTAAAAGTACGAAATTGCAAAAAATATGTAAAAGACTGAAGAATTTTCTACGACGTGTTCAATAAAATATAAGACACAATATCCGGCTATACAGCTACTCATGTGAAAGGGATCTTAAAGGAGAAATTATCGATGATGTTTTCGGTATTGAATACATTCCACTAAATTCTAATCACCGGCGAGATATGAAATCGTTTTTAAAATTCGTGCCAACTAAACGCGGATAAAAAAATAATTGTACTCTATTGTAAAAAGACAGCGGAAGCGACGAGGCACGTATCAAGGCGTTTTACCGTGAATAACGGTATACAAAAAATAACATTATACATATATTACTTATATACACAAAGATACGATTCGTCGAAGAATGTTGAAATATTCGTTCGTATCTGCCGACTGTACGCGCGGCTTAAGTAATTACAAGTAATAATAATAATAAAAAAAAAGAAGAACGTCTCCTGACTAGAAACTTGCGTGGTCGAGCTGCAGGAGCTGGAAGGAGTATTCGACGGCAGTATACGAGTGACGAATCAATCGTCACTCATCCAAAATTAACGTTTCTGTGTACCTTGACGAATCTCGTCTTGTCTAGACGCGGATTAAGGCACTGTTGAACGCTAACGAGATATTCGGTAAAAGTCGAAACTATGTTCGCAGACAACACCAAATCCATGCAACGCGTGTTCCCTCGATTATTCGAACTAAGGTGTTTTTCATGGTTCTACGCAGTCAAAATTTTAACTCGTTTACGATTCAATTTAGTATATAGCCTGAAAATCGAAACTTAAGAGTGGTAGTCTTCCTTTAGTGATCCTCGCCTTGTTGAAAATGGCCGTTTCGGTTTAGCGGTTGTCTCTCTGGAGCGTCGGAAGGTCTGTTCCTCTTGAAGAAACCACACTGTAAATGATAAATAAAGTGGATTGATTATCATTAATCCACTATCATCTTGATCTCAATTAATCATTATCAATATCAAAGACATGAATCAATCTATATAATAAACCAAACAAGGGACTCCGCATTAATCACATGAAAAAGTGGTTTCAATTGAAACTGTGACATTTTACAGATTATTCTGATCAAAAATTTTTTTAGACAAAACCATAAAAAAAATGGACATTTGAAAGTTGATATTTTTTATCTAAATGAACTAAAAAATATCTTTATCTAATAAATTATTCATTTTTTGGCAATTGTAAATATCTTAATATTTTTTTGCGAAATAATGAAATAAATAAATCGACTAATATAAAGAAAACACATATAGTTGTTAAAAAAAAATACAATTTGCAAAATGCATACTTGCAAACTTTGTGTTTTCTTTACATTAGTTGATTCGTTTCATTATGTGCGTAAAAGTATAAAGTAAAGTTACCAAAAAATGAACAATTTAGTACTTAGGTCAAAATATTTTTCAGTTTCGATTTCGAAATAATAATTTTAAAATGACTAGAACAAAATCTCAAGTCCATTTTTTATGGTTTTGTTTAAGGAAACTTTTGAATTTTATAATAACTTTTTCATATTATTATTTAATCATTCGCAGTCTTTTTCGTTACAAAACATTTGAGAAAGCGCTATAATTTGTAACGTTTCTACATTACATTCGTCTTTAGACTCACCTTATAAAGCAAATAAATGAGTAGCAAGAGGATAATCATTCCCGCGCAGGCCGACAGAACTACCACCCATATTGGAATCATATCTGGAGCAGAAGGTGCCGCGCTAGGCTCGATATTCGTCATAACTTCGTCGCTCCTAATGACCTGTTCAGCAGGCGTACCGATGAATGGTTGCTTCGTGACACGAGCTACCAATTTCGTTGACACTTTCACTTTTTCTTCAAGAGCTACTTCCTTCAAAGTCCTAGCATCCACGCGATATCTCGCACTAATCCATACTTCTTGATCTTTCTTCAATGGTCCTAGCACGCATCGCAACATAACGCACTTTGCTGAATCGCACGGTCGTACTGGTGTCTGTAACTCGGGATCGTTTTCCTGATAATAATCGTCATCTTGGAACGTAGTTGCATCTGACGGATCGTCCATCTCGTCGAGGTCTCGTCGATGTCTGTGAAGCCACTCGAATTTCTTGAATTCCTCAATATCGACCATGTCGCTCTCGCGTCTATATCGCGAGCTTGGAAAATCGGGTCTGTCAGTGAGAAACTCATCATTAAACTGGTCACGGTTTCTTCCGTAGACTCTGGTATTGCTTGTTCTCTCTTCCGTCCGTTTTTCTTCATGTGTACGAGTATTATATCTGCTTTCGTAACCTCCGTCCGAAGTTGCACTAGATGATTCCTCATGCCAAGATTGACTGTAAGTTCCCTGATCTTGATTATCAGCATTGCTACCTAAATCATCATGTGAACCACGTAAAGTGTACGTTCTTTCCTCTGTGTGCGTGAAAGAACCCTGAAGAGGAAATCTTCGGCCATCTTTCAACACGATGTAACCTTTACTATCTGGAGCAATAAATAGCTGACCTTCTATTCTGAGGAATCGACTGTCGCGAGGTTCTGTGGATTCCGAGATGTAACTTTGACTACCATAACGATCTTGAAGAGGAAACATAGAACCGTCCTGGAACTCTATGTATTCCTTCCTGTCAGCGGATGTTCTGAATCTTGCCTTGAACTGTACATACTGTTGTCCCTGTCTACTATATACTTGGTAACCAGCTGCATCCTTCGACAATGTGCCAAAGATTCGGTTCAATTCTTGCGTGGAGCTGACATTATGCAAATCAAATTCTCGACTTCCGATTGCCTCTTCGCGGTCGCCAGTGATGAAATCATCTTCCGTAGATGGATGATGACCATCCGTGGTCGCTCCGTAGCGTCTTTCCGCGTCGTAGCTATGTTCTCTCTCTTCCTGCAAGCGTCTTTCCTCTTGTTGTCTTCGCCGTTCTTCTTCTTCTTTTCGCCATTCCTCTCTTCGTTCCTCTTCCTGCCGACGTCGCTCTAACTCTTCTCGATGACGTTGTAGGGCAAAGTTACGTTCTTGCTCCTCTTGCACCTTCCTCTGTCGAGTTTCCTCCTCCTGTCGCAGACGAAGCTCTTCCTGAAGCTTCCTTTGTCGAATCTCCTCCTCCTGAGTTTCTTCCTGAAACTTCCTCTGTCGAGTCTCCTCCTCTTGACGCAAACGAGCATCCTCCTGCTGTTTCAATAGCTCTTGGTATCTCCTTTCGCTTTCTGTAATAATTGAATCGTATCTTCCTGAAGGTGAGATCGTGTGTCCTGGCGCTTCACCGCTTTCTTTCCAACGACTTTCTATCCTAACAGATTGGTTCGTACGTGTTCCATAGGACTGCTCGAGATCAGGCAATCTCGAACCAAAGGATTTTTCTTCAGATTCACGGAACCCTCCGCCTAAAGTTGTGGAACCGTAATTACCGCTTGATTCCGTATGAAAAACAACGCCGCCGCGATTATTAGATAAATTACTGCTATCGATCGAGCTAGTTCCAGAAGAATTGTGCGTATACGTTGTGGTAAGTACTTCGGGTTTTTCTCCCGTTGGGTTTAGCTGAATCCTCCTAGTCTCGGTAATACTAGAAGAAGAGGAAGAAGACGATAACGAGGAGGAGGAGTGTCGTGATTTCTGAATATTCGAACTATCGCCACTATTAATCTCCGCTTCTTCCTTTTGATTCACTTTGTTACGATCTATCTCAAAGCCTCTTTGAACATTGATTGTTCTGCCTGACTGCGACTCATCTAAGATTACGCCGGAGTAATCGGGATAATTCAAGTGCACTCTTTTGCGCTGATCCAACTAATAATATATTATATTATTATGATTTATATTATTGTATATACATATATTATGAAATATAAAAAAATAATTTTTAATTTTATACGTACCTTCAAACTGAGATAATTTGCATTGGCAGATTCGCAAGCGATCGGACCCGCAGTCTCCGGTTGCTCCAATAAATACATCAATGTCTTTCCAGATAAAGTCTGCGCAGGCCATACAAGGAATGCTTCTGCCTCGACGATATCCGATGGGCCTTGATTGCGAATGGTATAATTATGTGTCACCGCTGGCCCCAATTCGAGCTCCGTTGTAATGTTTGCGGCAGTGTAATTGTCAGGGTTATAATACAGATCCTTGGGCTTACTCTCACCGTCGACGCGTAAATCTGTCTCTATCCAGATCGGCAATGACAAGTTCTCTTTGTTATCATAGATAGTATTGAGATCTTCAGGGTTCGTAGAATTAACATGCATATTAAACTCGTAGATAGGCTTCATGCCGTGAGACGTCACAGGCTGAAGTAACACCTTAAATTTCACCAGCTTTCTCTGTGGCAGTGGATTTCCAATATCACAACGTAAAGTATTATTGTTCGATTGTTTGGGTGCAGAACAGTGAACAGGAATTTCTAAGGTTTCTATACGTTCGATTTTGATATAATCGATACCGGCCGGTAATTGCAGATTGTACGTTGCCTCGAATGCATCTTCGCCTGCGTTTTCAACTAAGACTTCGAGTTCAAGCCTTTTACCAGATCCTAACAAATATCTGCCAACGTTGGGTCTCACTTTGAGTTGTAAATCGGGTATACAAATGTTATCGGATCCGCAGTTCTTTCTGATAGAGAGAGTATCCTTCCTGGAAGTTGTCGCGCCGAGAACTGGTCTCAATGGCATTCTAGGATCACGATGGCGATTGTCAGGAATCCGTTCTTCCTCCAGACTCATACGCATCTCGGCATCCAACGACGTTAGTTTATCACGAATATTAGGAGTCACGTAGACCTTTAAAAAACAGTGCCAAAGTTGTAAATTTTAAAAACAGGAAATATAGAATATTGCAAAAATCAACTGTCTACCTACCTGGACTGTACGACAAAACTGGCGATCGCGTTCTACCGAGATTGTATGATTCATCGTGTTCTTGTTTTCCAACTCTAAGAAGAACAGTCTCGGATTTTTTGTTTTCTTTACGTCGAGTACATATTGTATGTTGAAATTGTGCCTTATAAGAACACCCTCTCCCGTATACTTGAAGCAAGCTCTAAGTGGAAAACACGTAACTCTGTTGTTGTCCGAAAGTGTGCAGTTTCTATTGTCTAAGGAAATCAACTTGGATTCGGAGTCGAAGGATACGTAGGAGTCCATCTTGATTACCGGTCGTGATCTGGAGAATGCACAAAGTTTAATTTCAAAACTAAATATAATTTTAAAAACATTTTCTACATCCAGAAGACATCGAGAGAATATGAATAAGGATAATTGAAAATAACCTGAAAAACATTGCTGCTCCCGACTCATATGCACCGACTACTAAGTCTGGATAAACATTGCCATCGAGGTCAAGGCCACCGGCTACAGAGAATCCGAAGGTCTGCACTGGATTGTCCAGGTCCTCTGCGTGGATTACTTGGGAATATTTTTCCAGTACTCCAGTCCGTGAACCATGATAAATGTAGACGGCACCGCGACCGTTTGGACCAGCATAGGGCGCGCCGACGACGAAGTCACCGTAACCATCACGGTCGATGTCCCCCAGAGAAGCCAGCGACAAACCGAAACGTCCGCGGTTGCTTTCGCCGTCCCTGGATAACGATAAGCTTTATCGCCGCGGTTCAACGAACTTGCGTGACACAGGGCTCATTTAACCCTTCGGGTCGGAGTTAATGAACTTGGGACCAGCAGAGATATCCGTTTTACGGACGAATTTTCTCTAAATATATATATTTTTGTAAATATAGTATGTATAATATATAATATATTATATCCCCTCTATTCTCTTTTATTCTTTAAAACTCATGAAGCTTCATTACCTTGTGTCGAATTTGCGGAATTTTTCCACACCATCACCCTGATAGATAATGTAAACTCTTCCAGTTTCGATGGTCATTTCCGGATTATCTGGGACCGTATACATGGGTGCACCGACTATCAGGTCATCCAACCCATCTCCATCTATATCGCCGGCAGTTACTGCGTAACCGAAATAAGCGCCCATTTGTTCGCCAGTAAGATTTCGAGGATTCGTCATATTCGATGTAAAAAGTAAGACCTACGATCATATTTTCATGTCAGCCTACATTTGCAATAATGAGACATATATTGCTCTCGTGCAAATTTCATCGCGGTTTTAAAAATTTGGATCTTATCGATTTATTTAAATTTCATGTGATATGTTCTTATTACAATTCAATATTTAAATACATAGGAAATATACAACGTACCACTTTGCATTTCTTAATGTTAGAGAGATTAAATATTACTATGCGCAAGTATTTACATTTGACTTTATCTTACATGCAATATTCCTCGCGTTTATCAAAATCCTTTAGTAAAAATTTTTTTAACATTTTAATATTGCAATTTTTTTCTTCCCTTCTTTCTCCTTTCCTCATATTCATCGTCTTTTTTGTACTTTTTTGTACGTCATGTTGTCTTCAGATTTCAACCTGTAATATAATATTCTTCTACACACCTTGCCCAGAAGATCGGAACCGCGCGGGACGCCAACCGCGGTACCACTATCTCCGTTTCCAACAAAATCTCCTGTCGCGACAGAATAACCCATATAACTATCGTCCTCCTTCGCAGGACCCTCTTTGGTGAACATGATTCTCGATCGGCTATTCAAGGGTTGTGAAAACGCTTGTCCTACAAAACAATTCCATGACGTTAGTAAGAGAGATATCCTAAGAAGCGACGGGAATGCGAGTGTTTTTATGATCACAGCTTTAGTCAAAGGTCTCTGAAAGGCTGTCGGCCTTTGCTGCAGTCAGGAAATAGCTCGCACAAAAAGCTTCACAAAATCTTTTATTGCATCGAAATATAAACTGATCAATTGAATTTGATTTTCATCGGATAAAGAACAATTTGACATTTAATAATTAGCTATAGCTAAACTAAAATTTTTTAAAAAAATATTAATTAATTTTCAAGAGAATTAATATACATATATCAGGAGCATATACATATCGCACACATCCATATACGTATGCGTACATATTTAATTTTATAAGATTTTGTGAAAATAACACTATATAAACATAGGAATAACAAGCTCTTCTATTATTAATCTAGCATTTGTTCTCGCTATTAATATCAAGCGATCGTCACTATTTAGCAACGTTGGCGCAAACTCTCGAGCCGATTAAGGGTATTATAGCTTTCTAGTTGGATCCGTATTACCACGGCTCTTGCTGCATCTGTAGCTTGCTGAAGCTGTAAGAAGCGGGCCCGCACCTGTTAGAAATGATCACCCACCACTTATTTGGCAGTAATTAAAAAGAAATAATAGTGTACATCGTCACAATTACAGCTAATTTTTAATTTATCAAGAAAATGAGATACAAAAACAACTTTTAATTTATATAAAAATTTTAATTTTTTATTTAATTTAATTTTTATTTAATTTATAATAACATAAGTAAATAACATAAAATATCAATCATACAGATTGTAAATCACCCAAATTATATATAAAGGAAGAAATTAATAATACTATTTATACATTTTCGGATTATAATGAGCATAGTTATACTATATTTATTGATTTCGATTATATAATTAATAACAAGTGTTATACATTAAGCATAAGGATAAATGATTAGAGTTACTGCCAAGCAAGTACAAAGAGGGTGGAAAATACTCTCGTGTTACTTGATACCTGCCTCCGACGATTTCCTGCGATTAATGCAAATTATTACTGCCGGCTTTCACTTCAGTTTTCGCACTCTCGGAAAAAGCCGACAAGCAACACATTGTTAATTTGGCAAGTAAGAAGTCGTCAATACGAGAGAATGGTAGCTTATTAGAAATGAGAGGGTGGGGGGGGGGGGGACAGGGGAAGGGACAGTACTTTAATTACGGGGAACGCCTTCAAGTGTTCGCGATACCTGATGCTTCGGCTTCGGTGATTAACATCGTCGCCACGAACTTCAACCTCATGGCGGCGGCGATCGAGTATATTTGACCTGCAATTTGTTAAAGGAAATTCTCCTCTGAATTATTAGTGAGATCTAGAAGTCGCACGCTCTTTCTTTCTATCTCTCTCCTTTTCTTTCTAATCTCTCTCTTTCTTTCTAATCGCTAATCGACATCCGCTCCTCCGTTCTCGTTCAGTCGCATCACTCCGTGGATCAGATAATTTTGATTGAAAAAAAGAAAAATAATAAATACACTTCTACGTTAGCTTAAAAGACAGATTTTCGGCCGGCTCACATACGTCCTAAGATATATACGGGTATTATCTTAATAAATTAGACGAAAATTTAGTAAAGGATCTCACCTTGCCAGTAATAACTGCCTGGTGCTCCTATGAAAAGTCTCTCGCCATTCTGAAATAGTAGAAAAGTAATCGTTAGCGAATTTTTTCACTCGTTGTAAAGCATGAAGATGTTAAAATCTAATTTATCTCCAGCAACTCTTTTGCTCGCATTCACATAATTGTTTTTATACCATTAATTATTCTTATACTTTTCCTTTGTGGAAGACGAAGTATCTCGCAAAACAAAAGAAGCGATAAATAGTGTGATCTTCAGTGCCTCGGGTACATAACTGAGAAATGAACTTACGAAAAAATAGTCTAATCTTTTTTTTTAATTTATAAGATAATGCCGTAGATAAGAGAAGGGAGGACTTGTGCGAGTCTGAGATGCGATAAATCAATCACTCGTATATATGCAAGCCGCACATTTGCTGCACACAGCCGCGTCACGCATGTTAAATCATATTAGAAACTGCGGTGGCCTTTACGAGACTTCTCGATACGAAGTGCCATCGCCTCTTGATGCACAACAAGAAAAACGCTGCAAGACTCGAGAGATCGATGGCATCTTGATCGAATGATAAAACATCGTGAGATATCACGAATACGATACCTGTCGATAACTTTCTCATAAATCTATAGTGCATAAGCTCCGTTACGAAATATCTTCACCATTTCTAATGATACTTAACGTACACGGCGATTGAAGATACAGATTTTTTACACGAATCAAATTAAATACAGAAAGAATATAATTTTGTTGAAACTAAAAATTTAGTTAAATACAAATCTAAAAATATTTTTGTTGATTATCAGTATAATAATTATGCAGAACATTCAAATCAATTGCTAGAATGTTTTTACTAAGAATAGATAATTATTTTGATCCAACGAAATTATTTTCAGATCTGTATCATAATTAAATGTTTTACCTCAGCAAAAACCATTTTTTTCATGTGCGAATTCAATGATATAGCAAGATTTTTTTGTCAAATTTCGCGAATTAACTTTTGCTTTGATAAAATTTTAATTCAAAAATTAATCACAGGAGTATGTAATCTTAAATTATTTTTTATTCAAAACTTACTTTGTTACGACTTCTTTCAATTATTTATTTATGAAAATGACGGGCAATTTGTACATATTCTATTTAAATTTTTCAACTTATTAAATTTAATAAATTTATTATTAAATTCTATATATTCAAAATACTTAAAATTTAAAATATTCCTAATCTACTTAAATGTAACTCATTTTTACTTAATAATTCTACATTTTGAATTCAAATTAAATATTTAATTAATTAATTATATTTTCTAATAAAATAACAATACATAAAATCCCTATTAAGACCCCCCCCCCCCC